AATTTTTTATCGCAAAATCCAGTTATATAGTAAAAATGTTTGCAAAAAAAAATTTGTCCAAAAAATGAATAATTATACATTTTTGAAAAGCCCTTGACCATGCCATTTCAAATATGCAAAAATTTTTGAAAAATTTTAAATAACCTGATTTTTAATCAAGAAAAACTAAAAATGTGCAAATTTCCTTTGACAGGTTGTTTGCAAAAAATTTGCAATTTTTTTTTCGCAAAACTTGTGCAATCCATTTCCTTATGTCATAGGCTTTCCAAAAAGCTTAATTTTATCAAAATCTGACAAGTGAAAATGGGTCAAAACAAAGATTTTGTCTGTTACAGGCAAAAGCAGTCATTCAGGCAGTGTGCCTGAGGACTCAGGCAGTTAGTATTAAAGCCCGGTTTAGGCCTAAAGAGAGAGCTTTGAGTATGTAAGAAAAGTCAGAAAATTTCAATAGCCTCAGACCAATAATTTTTGAGTTATGTAAAAAAACTAAAGGGGGGGGGGTCAAATTGAAAAAGTTCGTTTTTCAAAAATGGTCGTTTTTAAAACGATCGTTTTTCAAAACGATCGTTAACGACAACCCTTCGTTAACGATCGTTAACAACAACCCTTCGTTAACGATCGTTAACGACAACCCCTTCGCTAACGATCGTTAACGAAGAGAGACAACCGACCTGAAGGGCATCTGTACTTATCATTGAGTAGTTTTCAAGAAAATATCAAGGAGTTTTAACTCCCCCACAAATGTTAAACTTCATATAAGACGACATTCAATAAAGTTGCATGTAATTTTTTTCCAAAAACGACCGTTTTGATAAAGTTCGTCGTTTCGTTAACGATCATTAACGACAACCCTTCGTTAAAGATCGTTAACGACGACCTTTCGTTAACGATCGTTAACGAAAAGCCTTGTTAACGATCGTTAACGACGACCCTTCGTTAACGATCGTTTACATAATTGTCAATAAAATGTTTGTTTCAAAAACAATCGTATAAAAAACGGTCGCAAATCGTTTTAATAAAAACGATCCTTTTCAAAAACGATCGCTATTCGTTTTCTTAAAGTTCAAAACGAGTGGGTCGTTTTTGAAAACGAAACAAAAAACGATCGTTTAACGATCGTTTAACGATCGTTTAAAAAAACGATTAACAACCCTAGTCACAAACTCTTACTTTTTAATCACTATATGTTATCAACACAATGTCGTAGACCTTAGATATTTCAATCTATGAATTCTGTTAGATAATATGATCGTAATTTAAAAATCAAAGGTTTACACCACCAGGTTACAGTGGTATAGGGATTAGAAAAGTTTATTTTGTGACAAAAACTCAATTCCTTTGTTTATTTGAGATAGAGAGTTTACGGTGCATCTAAAGTTATAAAGTACATTATACACATTTTATATTCAAGATTCCTATCTTATATCTCATCCTATTTCATAAACAAGGGTTCTCTAAACATAAACAAGGGTTCTCTAAACATAAACAAACCCCAAAAATGAAAGATAAAGTTTTATCAGGTTTATCTGAAGAATAAAGATATGCCCCTTACAGTGGTCCAAAGATAGCAAGCTCCCACACCAAAATCTATAAGAATTTTGCCAATTACTTCGTAGGAAGTTAAGCTAACATTAAGTACGTAGTTCTAAAATGTATATGTCTAGGGCTACAAAAAAGTTGGTGTGGTAAAACCAAAGGCCGAGGCGTTGCGACAATTTAAAGTCGAAGCTGTCTAAAACTTTGAGGACTAACTTTCAGAGTTGTGTAAATCTCAGTGAAACATGAAGAGGTGTTTAGAAGAGAAAAAAGATTTTGAATTTCTAATGTCACCAAATAAATTTGTTTATCTTATACTTTTGTGTAAAATCAAACCTAGAGGAGCTAGGATACGAAGTCACAAAGTTGTCCTAGTAACTTTGCGTAAATTTGACTTTTTCCATTTGTCTTGCTGAGGAGTGCGCCACAAACTCTTTGCATTAATTTGAAAATGAACACCTTTGATATTTTAAATTTTGATTATGTTTAGCAGAATTGAAATCAGAACCCGCGATTTAAAAGCTTCGGCTCGAGTCGTAATTCCTTAAACCCGACTTTAAGACCCAATCTTCGACCCAACTCTAACGACAGCTTGTGTCACGTGATTTCCAGCTGCAAGATCTTCGGCTCGACTTAAGGAGTGAAGCCCAATGAAAATAAAACCGACCTTGATTGGTTTTAGTGGAGAATAAGACTCAATGTTGCGTCTTGTTCTCATAAAAACCCAGAATGCGCCAATTCCTACCATGAAAATCCGCAAAAATAGAATACTAAACTGGTTTTTTAATTCAACTCTGTGGAAAATAAGATGTAGCTTTAATCCGAAAGCTCAACCCGTAAATAAGGTCCAACGACACCTTATACCCAAGCCGTATTTCCCCGAATTTTTTAAATCGCGGGCTCTGGTCACATAGATGCAAGGACAGGAAAACTATAAATTTGTTAGGAGTAATCAGTTTATCTGTCCATGTTTAGTTCACAATAAGCGTTGTTGAATAATTCAAAATAATATTTTACACAATATATACACAAGTAAAATACACGTAGATACACACAAATACGCATAATTACACAGATCGTCTATAGAAAATTTAAATTAACAAAAATCTATATCTAAATAATTTGAAATTACAAAGTAGACATGTCTTGTACTCCCTAAATATTTCCCATGGAAAAGTTAAAGTATTTAACCACTAATTGTTGGCAAAGAAAAATATATAAAACCGTGTGAGTATTTACTAATTGCAATTGTACAGAGCAGAACTACTACAACAGTCCTACCGATACCAACCAGCTTAAAGGGACAATTTAAGAAAGAAAGAGGGGCATGCCCCGATCCACAACGGTACACGTCAAACTATTATCTGATAGTGAAGAATATATAGTCGCATTTCAGCCTTGTTTAAGGAGAAATCATGGAGATATACCATCCATTATTAATCAGACAAGGGTTACCGCAAGGTAATAATGCAAGGAAAGTTTTTCAGAGGTGTACACATTTTTGTACTGTAGTGTACTGTCTTTGGGCGGAAAAGTGAACACAAAACGGATGTCACAGTCTGACATGGAATCCATTTTCACAAAATAAATCTATGAAATATTCTGGTCATAGGAAATTATTATGTGAATTTTCAAAATTATCAAAATTAAATGCTTTTAACCTCCTCGGATACTAGACGAACACTGATGCATCTATTCTTGTTTACAAATTCCGCCCAGAGAGAACTGGTTTCAATATGTACGCAGAGTATACGCAACTGCAATTAACTTTCCTTTCATTAGTACCTTGGGGTACCGTCACCGACCCTTTGTGAAGCGTACCTGCCGATCAAAGGGTTAAAAAATGTCTCATGTCCTATCAAGAAATCAAAATCTTTGTTTTTAATCTTCCTGACAGAAACAATTTCTCAAGAACTGACCAGAGTTAACCCAGACCGAAATATATTTTCAATAAATGTGGAACTAACATAAACTTTTTTTTACTCTAAAGAGGTTTGGTCCATCACCATCACCGAATTTTAAATTTTTCCTTAAGCCATTAAAAAATAAATATGTTGAAATGTGTTGTAGTCAAAAACTTTCAAAAACATTTTTGCTTAAGCCATTAAAAAAAAATATGTTGAAATGTGTTGTTGTCAAAAACTTTCAAAAACATTTTTGCTTAAGCCAATTAAAAAACAAATATGTTGAAATGTGTTGCAGTCAAAAACTTTCAACAACATTTTTTTTTCGACGAGCTTTTCGTATTTTTTCAAAAGCTCTTCATCTAGAGGTTTTTTATTTTTTAACCCAATTTAGCCCAACAATGAATTGACACTTTAGGATTAGGAAATGTGTAAACAATAAGAAAGCTTTTTTAAATATATAAAATCATCAGCAATGATTATGTTGATTTTGTTNTGTTTGTGTTATTGAACCATAATTGAACTAAATGATAAAAGCAAGATAATGTAATTTAATTTAATTGTTTTCAATACAATCCTAGATAATAATTCAACATCTGATCATTCAATAATAAATCATAGATTACAGAGCTTAAAGCTAGGATTTAACCGTGAACGTTTTAGATTTAGATTTAAAAGTATTGTTTACGTTTCTTAAATTCATTGTCACGATCCAGTTTTGTTGTTTATAACTTTATCTTTATTTTTGATTGTTAATTTTCTTTTGCTCTTTAGATTTATTCAGAATCTTTTAATTGAAAAATATACATTTCTCATTTACTACAATACCCTTTAAAGTAAATTTGATGGAGATATCCTCATGCTTTTCAATCATAAAATTGATAATATTCTATGGCGGTTTTCTGTATGATAGCCATTTGTGGATTTATGCTGCAGAAACAATTGACAGGAAAAGAAAGAAAACTGCAATACATTTCTTGAAGGTTTATTCTTTGTAGGTTACACTGGATCTACATATATAAATCTATTTATATAGTAGTCTAGTAGTTTGTTTGTTTGTTTGACCGATCCTTACTCATTACTCATCATGTACCCAATTTGACCAATTTATCTCAATGTTGGATTTGGTAGATTGCGATATAGGTTTTAAACATCTTAAGTTGAGTGGGTTAACTTTTTAAGGGAAAATTTAGTTTCTCCAGGCACAGCTGGGTTTCTAAGCTACTATATATCATATAATAACCTTACCTAATATGTTAACCTGGTGATGCTAGTTGGGAGTATTTCCCCCTCTTCCCATACCTCCTTCAAACTCCAAACCTCCTGGATGATCGTCTATCGACCCCCTGAAGTCTAAGGGCAATCATTAAAGACACCCCTTCATGGTTTGATCGGTCCTGCTAAAAATTATTATATGTCATATAAAACTTAAAATATATAATTGTATAATTGTAATATTGTGTTTTCGTAACAAAAATAAATAATAATAAAAATAATAAACCTCTAGGCTAACCATTTTTATGAAACATAAAAAATCTAAAATGATTCAATATTTTGCAGGTGGTGACCTGGAATGAATCCCATCAGAAGTTGACCAGCTCAGATCAATACGGTCTTATCATTGTCTGGATGCTCTACAAGGTAAACAATACGGTCTTATCATTGTCTGAATGCTCTACAAGGTAAACCATACGGTTTTATCATTGTCTGGATGCTCGACAAGGTAAACAATACGGTCTTATCATTGTCTGGACGCTCTACAAGGTAAACAATACGGTTTTATCATTGTCTGGATGCTCTACAAGGTAAACAATTCGGTCTTATCATTGTCTGGACGCTCTACAAGGAAAATAATACAATTTAAAGGGACTGTTATTGCGCGTTTAAGTGGCTTTTAATTCAGGATTTATGAATTTCTACAGCCGGACGAGGTTAAAAAAAATGGCCGTAATTCTTAGAGGGAAGCAATATTATGCTTTTAAGCCATTGAATGTAAATAGATTGTTTAAACAAATTGTCCAGCAACAGTGATGACACATTTTAAAACAGTTTTAAAATTATTTAAACACGGTATTTTTATGTTTAACATAGTCCTCTGACTACTTACATGAAACTTGAAAAATATTAAAATGTTTCAAGTATGTTTTGGCGCCAAGGTTATTTTACCCGGACGCCGAATGTGTTTTCCTTGTTTAAGTATAATTACGGAAAATGTAAACAGACATTTTGCAAGTTTTAAACTATGTGCATGTCCATGACCAAATGTGCAAGACATGCACAATAATATTTTCTGAAATATCAAAATATTATCCATCCTATCCATCCTATCCATCCTATCCATCCTATCCATCCTATCCATCCTATCCATCCTATCCATCCTATCCATCCTATCCATCCTATCCACTCTATCCATCCTATCCACCATCTATCTCTGCTAGGGGTCCTGGTATGAGGAGATGATTAACAACAGGAACAAAAGCGTGGTCAGGGGGATGGCCTGGAATACAGAGGGACAGAGAATATGTATTGTTTATGAGGTAATAATAATAATAATATTAATAATAACAATAACAATAATAATAATAATAATAATAATATCCTAGGATGGTGCTGTAATAGTAGGAAGTGTTGATGGGAATAGAATCTGGGGAAAAGAAATAAAGAATGTTACCCTCGCAGGTTAAACCATTTTAAAAACTTGTTTCATAAGTTTACAACGTTTATAGTTTTTTTAGGTGTGTTCTAGGAGTTTCTATGGTTTTGTTCTCGGAGTTTATCTATGGTTGTGTATCTATGGTTGTGTTCTAGGAGTTTATCTATGGTTGTGTTCTAGAGTCTGAAACATTATAAGAGAAACCATCAAATAGATCTATGGTATAGATCTATTGGTTGAGCTTCCGACCATAATTTTAACCTGTTTTGGAGGGACCTCGGATCGATTGATCCTATTGACCTTAAGAGTTTCTTACCGATCTATACTGCACTATACAGCTTTGGGAGGACGGAGAAATGTGTGCAGCCATCTTTGTCAAAACTGCTCCGGCGCGTTCTCTCGTTCAAAACTGCTCCGGCGCGTTCTCTCGTTCAAAACTGCTCCGGCGCGTTCTCTCGTTCAAAACTGCTCCGGCGCGTTCTCTCGTTCAAAACTCGACCTGAAAAGGTCTTTAAACTATTTTCACTAAAAATGATATATCGGCTGTATTTCTCCAATACCACGATGATAATGACTCCACGATGTGTGTGAATCTATGCGCAATTTTACTGCGTATAATTCTCTACTCTATTCTCTCGTTATTTGTTGATTGTTGATGGAAGACGACAACCTAGGCTTCTTTTTCACATTCGTTAACACTGTTCAACGTATTCAAAGAACTTATTTTACAGCTATTTTCATAGGTTTTTTCATTTTGAAAATTTTAGACTCAATTCATAAAAGAAATTTTAGGTTATATAAGATTTGCTTAAATTACAGCCCTATTGCAATAAAAAAGCCTGTAAATAACTGTTTTTAAAGGTAAAAAAAGAATCAATAGAAAGTGTAAAAATACCAGGGAGAAGGCGCAATATTCCCCCCTTCATCCAGCCTACACAGGGTTTAAACAATTCGGATTAGATCTCGCCCTAAACACGAACAAAGAGAACCCATTCTTTAATTGAATAGATATCATCAGGAGTTACTCTTGCGTTTCATTTTTAAGAATCTCTTCAAAACCGTGCTTCAGTAACAACCAGTATAAAAATTAAATAAAAGTCGTCTTTGTTCTTACTTTTTCACTTCAGGAGTTGCAAAAAAAGATTTACATTTGATTCCCGATATAATATTGTGGTCTTGGACTTTTTTAAAGCTAAAGAAGTACTTGTTTCAAGCTTAAAATGACCTTCCTTATAATTTCAAGCTACCCTACATTTAGCAGAGCGGCATCCTCAATTCACAATTAATAGTGTGGAAGATAACAACGGTTTTCTATATTTAAAAGAGATTATTTCTGACAATCTCTCCATTGCTTTCTTGCAGTAGAAATGCGCGATTCACTTTTGTAGAGAAACCACAGTTAAAAACAATCAGTTTACAAAATTATAAACGTGACAAAGCTCTGAAGGTTTGTACCCTTTGTATCGAACTCTTTTATTTGGAGGGTCACTTGAAATTAGGTTTAAAGACCCCTGAACATTGAAAGAAGTATTTGGCAAAATCCTGATTTAAATATTTTAATAATATCATTATGTTTAACTTTAGGTTGGAATCAAGTGTTTAAATAATACTGGAGCAGGAAGTAGGGTTGTAACCTTGACCTGGTACAACGGTAAACACGGGCTAGCCAGCCCCGGTCAACCTACACTCCTCATCTGCTACACAAACGGCCGGATGCAGATCATGAAGGACGAGAACGACGATGAACCGGTTCTGGTGGATACTGGTATCGCCGTGGCGGCGTGTCAGTGGAACCACGACGGTTCTATCCTGGCGGTGGCGGGGCAGATGGATACACCGGGGGCGGCGGAGAAGGATGCTAATGTCGTTCAGTTCTATGCTCCAGACGGAGATCATCTTAGAACTCTTAAGGTAAAACATTTTAATTTGAATATAATTTAACCAGTAAAAAGTGGAATAAAAAGTCATCTTTGTTTAATCTTTTCCGCAAACATTGTCTCCCATCCTCTCCCATGTAAGTGTAGATGTAAAATGTACAATCTTACTATTCGTTATTAGGTGAGGATAAGATAGATAGAATTGTACAAAACATTATTTTAATTGTAGTGGCGTATGGCGTATTGCGTTATGGCGTATGATGTATGGGGTACGGATACATTTTCAGAAAATTGAAATTACGTGCAGACAGTCCCTTTAAGAACAGCGTATGCAGTACTTTTAAGATGTCTAAGTTCTGAAAATATTGTTAATAGGTCCAGTGAGAACTAAATTATATAGTATCTATACTGCAAACTCCGACCTTATATACCTTAAATAGTTATAGTATTTATTTTCAAACACAAAATACAAAATAATAATGTATGATGGTTCAGCTTAAAATAAAACACAACAGAAAATTTATTATGAGCCAATTGAAAATATAATGTTTGATAATTTTATTTGATCGTTTTTTTTAAAAAAGGTTATATAAGGGTTGCGGCCCTAGTCCTGAATATATTCTGCAAGCATTTTGCATGCTTTCCCTCAGAGAGAGGAGGTGTTGACACCTCAACTGCTTTCTACTACAGTCTGTATCTAGTCGTTAGTACGTCTTCATATTTTATCCAAAACTAAACTTGGGAATATAAACTTGCTTATTTCTCAAACTAAAGTTCTGATTCCACATCATTATATCCTTGAAATGTTTTTACCAAAGTTGGTTCTTTAAATCTCCGGGAATCTTATACGAGGCTCTCCTACTCTATTTAACCTTTTAAACTCTATCCAATCAACCTTACATTCTTCTTTTTACAACCTCCCCCCCTCTTCAAACGATTTTTTTCTTATAACGAAACTTCTATTTCCACTGCTACCTTCGTTTCTAGTCCTCCACACCTTCATCATAGTTTTCCTTTCTTCCTTTTAATCTACTCTCAGTTTTCTGCATCTTTTCCAATTTCATCTACTCTGCATCTTTTCTTTTCATCTACTCTACATCTTATCTTTCTATTTACTCTGTATCTTACCTTTCCATCTACTCTGTGTCTTTACTTTCCATCTACTCTGTATCTTTTCTTTTTTTGTATTCTCTGATCTTTTCTTTCCACTCTGTATTTTAGTTTTCTATTTACTATTTACTTCCTTAACTTCCATTGTCACCTCCTTCCTAACCTTCAAACCCTCCCTCCCTTCCTTCCTTCCTTCCTTCCTTCTCTTCCCCGGCCCCTTCCTACCCTCTCTCCTATCCAATAAGCTAATCTACTCCAATAATCCTGTTAAAGCTGAACGTTCTATCAAAATTCAATAGACTTTAACATAATTCATCTAAATTTGAGGTTAATTAGTTCAGATTTGTCTGGATTATGCCCGGAGGTTTTCTTTTGATAGATATTGTGTTTAAAATCATCATAATCATATTCAATTATAGCTTGCTGTTCAGGTTCAAAAACGCTAGAAATATAGAAAACCTACAGTTTTTGTCCAAACATATCAAATAAAAAGATTACAATGCTTGATTCACAACGGTACCCTTAAAACCTTCTTCTGGTGAATTCTGTTATATTGGTCTTTTTTTTCAGTTTCAAATCTGATCATTTCTCTATGGTTTCCAGCATTAGGAATGCACAATTCACATTTGTAGAGAAACCACAGTTGAACATAACTAGTTTTCTTAATTATAAACATTTATATCTAGTTCATGATTGATCAGACAAAGCGTTTAAGGGTACCGTTGTGAATCGGACATTGCATGAAGAGTCAATTAAAATTATAGTTACAGTCCCTTTAAATGTAATTATATTTATTTTTGTATTCAGGTCCCAGGGAAACAAATAACATCTTGTGCCTGGGAAGGCGGAAGTTTAAGAATCGCCCTGGCGGTTGATTCCTTCATTTACTTCGCCAATATCCGCCCCGACTACAAGTGGACCTTCTTCTCCAACACCGTGGTCTACACCTTCACCAAGGTGGACCGCCAGGATGCCGCCGTAACCTTCTGGAACATCAAGTCCAACGACAAGTATCAGAAGCATGTGAAGAGCCTGCTCAGTGTATCGTCTAGTGGGGAGCACTGCGTCCTGGCAACTAAGAATGATGATAACTTGAATCCGTTCGGACTTATCCTCTGTAATAGTATTGGTACTCCGGTAGACAGCAAATATATTAATATTGAACCTGTTTTTGTTACAATGTCTTCTAGTCATGTTATTGCTGCATCAAGAAGCAGTGTTTTCGTCTGGCACTTTAGGTATTATTATTATTATTAATGTTATTATTATTATTATTATTATTATTATTATTAATTATTATTTTTATTATTACTATCATAATCACTATCATCATTATTTCTATTACTAGAACTGCTAAGTCCTGGACACACCTAACCTTAGACCTGGAGAAATCAGGACGGAAAGATCGAAGAGAACGTATGTTTCATATTGAAGACAATCCTACCGGACAGGAGATCAATATGAACCCTGAAAGGTAAACTTCTTCTAAGATATTTTTTTTAAAACTTTTTTTTTAAATTATATTTTTTTTCAGAATGAATGAGAAATCTGATGACCCAATCTGCGCCCTGGTAGCGAGCGAGAAAACTTTATTGAGTGAGTATTTAGAGAGTTCAATACTTTTATATTTGCAACCTGGTGGTGTAAACCTTTAATGTTTTAACTTTAACAACTTAATCAGAATTCATAGTTTGAAAGATCAAGAATCTAAGGTCTTAAGGTGTCTCAAAAAACATGGGAATTCAGTGACGAATTCGATATCGTCTTTGTTATGAATTTGCATTGTAATACCTAATTTCAAAAGCGATAATATTATTATGTCTGCTAGAGTTTATTTAATGAAAACGGTAAATGGCTGTAAAGATGTGTCTATAATGTCTCCGCAAGATGAACAGTGAAGACGGACAAGCTTACTCTGTTTGTATACTGTAATTTTCTTGTTTTACTAAGTACATCCGTATGCAGTCAAAACATAAACAAACAAAATGTGAACATAGCAGACGAAACTCTTGCAGATTACAGCTTTCTCAGTAGGTATCACTATACTAAATAAAAGAATTATATAAAAAGACTATATCGAATTCGTCACTGAATTCCCATGTTTATTGGGACACCCTGTATAATAATCAGAATATTGTAAATTGAATTGGTTTATTTATACTATACCTAATCAAAAAAGACAATTGGGTAAAAAGCTGTAAAACGAAATAGCTAATATTGTTGTGTGTTCTCAAATCTTCTGATTTTAAAATATTTTAGTTGGACGTGAGTCTGGAAGTATCCAACGCTACTCTCTACCCAACATTGCTTTGATAAACCGATACGAGGTTGGTGTTCGACCCCATGCTCTAGCCTTGAACTGTAACACTACCTGCCTCTCAATAGTGGATGTGACCGGCCTGCTCCAGTTCCTTGACCTGGACGGATCCCGGGGTGGGAACGAAGGAGATATTCTCAAGTTTGAAAGGAAGGATGTCTGGGACATGAAATGGGCGACGGACAATCCTGATCTCTTCTCCATGATGGAGAAAACTAGGATGTATATATTTAGGAACATGGAGCCGGAGGAACCCATTCTTTCCTCCGGGTATATTTGTAGTTTCCAGGACCTAGAGATCAAGGCTGTTCTCCTGGATGAGATACTCCGGGACCCGGAGAACCCCAGCTCCGACCTGGTTCTCGAACTTGAAGTGAAATCTCTCCGTGATACAAGGGATTTACTGGAGAAGGTTGGGATCAAGGATGCCCAAACCTTTATAGAGGACAACCCACATCCCCGCCTCTGGCGGTTACTCGCCGAAGCGGCGGTGGAAGCCCTTGATCTCACGACTGCCGAAACCGCCTATGTCCGATGCAAGGATTATCCAGGAATACAGTTTGTGAAACGTTTGGCAAACATTACGAACCCGACTATTCAGAAGGGTGAGGTAGCAGCCTGGTTCGGTCAATATGATGAGGCCGAGAAACTCTACCTGGAGGTTGACCGCCGTGATCTAGCAATAGGGTTGAGACGGAAACTGGGAGATTGGTTCAAGGTTCTCCAGCTACTCAAGGGAGGTGGAGGAGGAACAGATAAAGAGGTGGAGGAGGCCTGGAACTATATCGGAGACTACTACGCGGAGCGCCACAAGTGGGAGGAGGCTGTCCAGTACTATGAGAAGTCTAGGAACGAAGATCAGTTGGTGAGATGCTACTACATCTTGGAGGATTACGACAGCTTGGAGAACATGGTGGATCAGCTACAATCCGGTGATAATCTTCTCCCTAAGATTGGCAGTATGTTTGCCTCAGTAGGGATGGGTAAACAAGCTGTTGACGCGTATGTAAAGAGTAATAATATTCCTGCTGCTATTGAAACCTGTGTAACTCTAAACCATTGGCATGATGCTGTAGAGCTTGCTAAGAAATACAATCAACCAAACCAGATCTCATCCCTCCTCGCTAAATACGCCCAGCATCTACTCGACGAGGATAAAACATTCCAAGCCATAGAACTTTATAGAAAAGCAAATCATTTTCTAGAAGGAGCACGACTTCTCTTTGTTGTTGCTAAGAATGAGACTGCTAAACACTCTAGTCCAATGCGTATAAAGAAACTGTATGTTCTGGGTGCTCTACTTGTAGAAGAACATCAACAACACCTCCGTCAGACTACAAGTGGAGCAGGGAGCAGGAGCACTGCTCTCATGGGGTTGATGGAGATGGATGGGATGGATTCTACCGGAGCTTCTAATATTGTGGATGGAGCCTGGAGAGGAGCTGAAGCTTATCATTTTCTTATGCTCTGTCAGCGTCAACTGTATGAGGTCAACCATCTAATTTAAAACATTCAGAGCTGAAATACTTGATCCTCTCTTTTTACTGTTCTCAAGATAAATTTAATCTGTAGTTTGTATCCTGGAAAGTGTGTAAAATTCAGCAAATAGAGTGGCGTATGCAAAATCCGGAACAGTCACCGGGAAAATTAAAAATTTTACTCGCCAATTATTGAAAGAACTCTCATTGACTGGATTTTGTCGGGATAGAAAGAGAGAAAAGAGAGGATTAAGCAGGAGATTAAAAGTATCAACATCGGATATTCAGATTGATCGATCGGGATAAAGGGTATCCAATTCTAAAGTTCCCAGCTCAGACTGCGAATTAACCCTATCCCCGCTGGGGTACTTGAAAACCAGGATACGCTGGGGGGGGGTCAATTTGACCCCCCCCTCTAAATCCCATGTTTTATGTCCAAATATGACAAATGATACATCATTAGAAAGCTCTTAATGTAAGAAAAGTCAGAAAATTTCAACAGCCTCAGACCAATACTTTTTGAGTTATGTAAAAAAAACTACAGGGGGGGGTCAAATTGACCCCCCCCCAGCGGGAATAGGGTTAATGAAAAGCTAGAAGTTTTTGCACTATGTACGGATAGTTAAAATACTTTTCCAGCAAACTATGAAAGGTATATACCATGGTACAGAAGTAATTCAACTTTACAAACGTAGTTCAACCAATTCTCGCTATTCATAAGTTCTGACCTCAGCTCTGGTTCACTATATTTTTTTAAAGACAGCATGTTGTCTGCACATATGAATAATTAGAGGAAACACTGTAACTTTGCAGATTCTCTTAAGTCAAATCGACATTTATGAAAGTTTATATTTAGACCGACCATTCTGACATTTGTTGGATACAAACAAAAAGCTCAACAAAAGATATGCCAAACTTTTTCAATAACAATAAAATATGTCCAGGGATATGTGGATGCTGCCATGAAGACTGCTCTGCATCTGCGAGAGTATGAGGATATACTGAACAACGAGGATATATATAGTCTACTGGCTCTATCCTCATGTGCTAACAGGGATACAATATGCTTAACATCTAGTTTTTAAACAAGAAAGAGGCATGGCAGATTGAAATTAGCCTTAATCTTTCTTGATCCGAGCCTCAATTAAATTCTGTTAGAGTCTAATATTTTAGATTTATGAAAACTTTTAATGAAGTAAAAACGCATTTTTTTAATTACTCCTAAAATTTATGCATATTTTTGGTTCTTTTAGAGCGTTTGGAACATGTAGCAAAGCCTTTATTAAACTAGAAGGATTAGAAGAACTAACGGAGGAGGAGAGAGAAGAGTATCAAGAGCTTGCTATGGATATATTTGTTAAATACAGCCCAAAGGTAGTATTTATTTTCATTTTCATTTGCTTTGATTTAGAAATGTTTTCTGGGTCTCAGTATTCTTTAATATTAATAAATTAGAATATCCAAAATTTGCCGTATCTACGTGAATATTCAACCTTTTATTAAAACAACCTTCATTACATGAGCGAAGAACAAAATATGTTTGTAAAGATAGATAGATACATGGTGACCCACAAAGGATGAGATTGTAAATATCGATCTTAAAATCTTAAAATATGAATATTTAAATGCTAAACTAATATTTGAAAAGTCTTTTAACGGGTTAAATAATGATTTTACAAAGAAAGAAATCTGTTTACAGTTGCAGGGAATCATAAAAGGAAGTAGACTGTAGCCCAGTAGACTGTATACATTCTGTACAGTCGTCCCTGTAGCCCAGTAGACTGTATACATTCTGTACAGTCGTCCCTGTAGCCCAGTAGACTGTATACATTCTGTACAGTCGTCCCTGTAGCCCAGTAGACTGTATACATTCTGTACAGTCGTCCCTGAAACCTCATCCTTTAGCCCAGTAGACTGTATACATTCTGTACAGTCGTCCCTGAAACCTCATCCTGTAGCCCAGTAGACTGTATACATTCTGTACAGTCGTCCCTTAAACCTCATCCTGTAGCCCAGTAGACTGTATACATTCTGTACAGTCGTCCCTGAAACCTCATCCTGTAGCCCAGTAGACTGTATGCATTCTGTACAGTCGTCTCTGAAACCTCATCCTGTAGCCCAGTAGACTGTATACATTCTGTACAGTCGTCCCTGAAACCTCATCCTGTAGCCCAGTAGAGTTAGCGTAGTGAAAACGATACCGTAATTTTTAAAAACAAATTAATGTAAAAATTGTGTACACAACACATAGGCCTGAGTTCAGTAGAACAAAGTCTGCAGAATCAGAATAAAAGACGACAATTAACAACATCTTTTTCTCAGGATTCTCGGTCTAACCGAGCAGAGTGTACAAGCTGTGAGACAATGATACCAGACTGGTGTGGAAGCTGCCCTAGCTGTGGAACCAAGTTCCCAGTTTGTGTGGTTACAGGTAGGATAACTATAGTATGAAACCTTAGTATTTTTGATTTTTTGTGGAAGCTTTAAAAGACAAAATTCTTTTTATTTGTAAAGACCCTAATTTTGGCCATTTTAAAAATATGTCCATACGACTAAAAGAATATATTTTGTTGTTGAAATTCATTTTTTAAATTAAATTATTATAGGTCGACCTCTAATGGACTTAAGTTCAGTTTGGGCTTGCACTTCATGCCATCATAGGTATTTTTATCGTCATCAATTATTATTATTATCATTATCGTTAATATTATTATTATTATTATTATTATTATTATTATTCAGGGCGTATGAGCAGGATGTTGCAATGAGAAGGAATTGTCCTCTGTGTCATGCTGCAATAACAACACATTAAATTAATAATTTCAGTTTCTCTAAAATTAAAGGGACTGCTCGCAATTTTGAAAATATTCAAATAAATTTGTTAAAACTATTTGAGGTTTCTTCTTTAATGTTTATTTTTTTGTAAATTGCCAAAAAAAGAAGAAATGAGAAACTTTTCAAATGCTTTTAAATGATACGTATCACGTACAATATCAACATTTTCAAAAATCAAGGCAATCCCCTTAATTTTTTCATAAATATGAATTCATTTATCGAAATCATAATTATTTACCTTTTTTACCTGATTTAAAGAAAGACATTTTTGACTGCACATGTTAATTTTATTATTTATTGTTAAATTATTTTCTCTTCCTGTAAAACAGTACCTTAGTTGCCCGACCAAAAATATCGTCACAAAATAAAATATATTATTTTTTTTTCTTAAAAAAAGAAGGCATTAGTTTTAAAATTTTGTTAATTTTTTTTTGATTGTTCAGTAATTTTTTGAATAAATTATTCAAATTGGGATTAATTTCATTATGTAGTGATAATGTTATGCACTGTCAGCTGAAGTTCCCGGCGTTGCCCGTGGAATAATTAACAAATCTAATTTTGGGAGAATATCGATTTTTAAAAGAAAAAAAAGAAATATCTTTTTAGCCTATATTAATACCAGGGTAATCATGAATTCCCTCAAAAAATTTCAGCCAATTTGGTCCAGCCGTTTGGCCAGATATATAGTTAACATATCCATACAAATAAATAAATATATAAGCGAAGATCTTTATTTTATAGATTGTTTAGACCAAGCTGTACTAATGAAAGGAAAGTTATTTGAGAGGTGTACGCATTTTCGTACTGCAGTGTACTGTCTTTGGGCGGAAAAGTAAACACAAGACGGATGTCACAGCCTGACTTGGAATCCATTTTCACAAAAATAATCTATGAAATATTTTGGTCATAGGAAACTAATCTGTGAATTTTCAAAATTATCGAAATTAAATGTTTTTTCCTCCTCGGATACTAAACGAACACTGATGCACCTATTCTTGTTTACAAATTCAGCTCAGAGAGAACTGTTTTTAATATGTACGCAGAGTATTCGCGACTGCAATTACCTTTCCTAGCATTGAGTCTTTTCCACAAACTCAAATTTACTATTTCCGTTATCTTTGCAACCAGATGGTGTTTATAACCTTTAATATTTCAAACTTATGATATTTTATCTGACAGAATTCATTGTTTGAAATATCTAAGTTCTACGACATAGGGTTGCAAAGATGGGATTCGAAAATCAAAGTATAACGAATTTTTCTAAAGAGCTATTGATAGGGAAATAAGTTTTCAAAATTCTTATATGCATGGAAACAAGTTTTCTCACTCTTGTAAATTACAAATAGAGGAGGTACTAGGTTCCAAAGTCGTACCTTAAATTCCGCATATATTTGACCTAGGGGGATGATACCTGTGTGCTCAGTTAGCCGTACTATACACTTTCAACTAATTTATTCTAGCTCCTTGGAAGGGCACCAGGCCAATCTCTGGTTGCAAAAATGTTCGGATTATGTTTACAACTGTTAGAACAGAATCAACTTATAATTAACAAATATGCAGTACGCTCGGTATAGTTTATGGCCTATAAAATTAGTAGAGGATTAGCGTACATCATCACTTTATACACTGTAACCTCGTTGATTTGAGCTTATGTCAAGATTTGAAGATTTAAACTTCTCATTAACCCTTTATCTAGTTCTTTAAATAAATCACGTGGATACCTTTTCAATATTTATTTATATATAAACTATGATGTGAATTCATTAATTTTCCGTTCTAAAATTGAAATCAGGCTGTCCGTGTCCATTATACCCCCTATAGCCCTATCACACTTATAGTGCACAGTAAACATAGATCCAGACTGCTCTGAAAGTTTCATCAATTGAAAAAACAAGGTTGACTTAGAATTGTCTTACAGAGAGCAATGCATGTCACTGAACCATGAGGTCTTAATATTACGAATACAGTTATGTATATAAATATCCCTTCTATTCTGCGAGTTCTGCACGCTGTATAAATCCTATACTTGAGAAATTGATCAAACAGAATACAGTAGTAGTGCCCCAACACAATCAATAAATTCAACATTCTCCAGAGTATACCAGACATAATAGGCCATTCATCTTGGCAAATATTTTTAGATTAAAGGTAAGCATTATTTGAGGTTAAATATGTTGTTTGTATACTTCAGATAGTTTTCAAAATGGCGGCGTAGCGGTCCATTTGGTTTCAGAATTAAGATGGCGGACCGCCGGGAAAATGCGTTTCCGCTTTGTCTTCTTAAACGAGATCCAGACTTGGAGAGATTAAAGTTGAGATACAAGAAGAAGACGACAAAGGGAGCTGAAAAGATTACGAGAAATGTTTCTTCTGAGACGATCAGTGTTATAAAGAAGACCGGAGTAAGAAGAACTAGTATTAAATCTCAGTTGAGCAAGGACGTCAGTACAAACAGTGAATTTAAATTACCAACGCTAGGTAATAAAACATTAATTTTTTTCATCATCTTGATTAAATTTTCGATTTATCTAGCTCAGGAAAAACTTTGCATGCATCAATTAAAAGACATTTTTGTTAATAAAAAGGCATTTCGAAATGAAATCAATCATAATTTTCCGAAGGTCTAGCCTGTGACTGGATTTAAATGTTCTATTTGTGTTGTAAAATGTCAACAACAAAAAAGGAAGTTTCAAAGCAACGAACTATTTTTAAAGTATTGAGTCTTTGTCACAAACTCAGATTTTCCCATCACTATATCTTTGCATTCAAATTAGATATTTCAAATTTCAATTTCTTAGTTTGAAATATTAAAGGGTTATACTACTATGTTGCAAGGATAGATAATAGATAAATGGATTTGAAAATTTAGTTTATTTCAAAGACTCCATTTCTTTATTAAAGTATTGAAAAGTTTAATTAAATTATTGTTCACCGAGTTATTCATAAGGAAGGAGAAGGAAGGATTAAAGTTTAAAGACGACTGCACGGAATCAATACTCTCATTTTCTTCCTTTCTTGGTTCAATTGTTTCTTGAGTTTCAAAATTCCATCAGTCTTTGCCAATAATTTGGTATTTTATCCTTCAGAACGTTATTTTTAAGAGTTTCTAGTCGTCATCATTTATAGGTAGCCTGATCACGCCACTGTTAAAAATTCATTATCTGAGCCAGTACAACATGTACTGTATGTTTAGCTAGTCGTACCGTCCATTTTGGACTGTAGGGTCGACCCACCACGTTTAATGCAACAAATTTACCCTGGCAAGATTACAGTGCTGTACGTAAAGTTAATTTTAGCTGGGGTAAATGAGGAGATTAAAGAAGCATCTAGTGAACTGCTCGGGATTAGAGGATTAGAACCAAGCTTCTTGGCGACCTGGATACAGGTATAGGATACAACCCACCATATATCCAAACAGTGAAACTGATTATTTGTCTCAAACTCTAATATTTCAATTCTTATTTGAATTGAATTCATAGTTTGAAATCTCTAAAATCTACGACATAAGGCTGCAAAGATATACGTTTTGAAAAGTTGAGTATGTGGCAAGTGATCAGTGCCTAAGACAACAACTAAAAAAATTTTTGTCTGCGGATCTTTTTATTTTTATATATAACAAAACATTTAGTTTTGATGCTCCAAACGGTTGTACTGAATAAAAAGAAAAACGTATGAAAGGATTCGAGTTTTTGCCACAAACGCTAATTTTCTAATCCCTTATATTATTGCAACCCAATCTCGTAGACTTTGAAGTTTAAAATATCAAAGGTTTACAACATCAGGTTGCATAGATATAGGGATTTGAAAATGTTAGTTTGTGGCAAAGAAAGGCGAAATTTCACAAAATTTTCTTTTGTATTTCGCAAACTTTTTCGCGAAATTTCGCTATTTTCTTCCACGAACGTAACGCGAAATTTTCGGCGAATTTTTTCTTCCATTTTGTGGCAGGCATGTTCGATTCACAACCGTATCCCTAAAAACGTTGTATATATGAGATACCAACAATCTTGAAAGTTGATTATTTTTAATTGTAGTTTCTGTGTAAAGTGATTTGCGCAGGAAAAAAATGGTGGAAATTGTCAGAATTAAACACTATTCAAGCAAGAAAAACGACATTATCTTTCACATCATTGATCAGATAAGGGTTTTAGAGGCACTGATGGGACTCAGGCACGCTCCTCTTTAAATGTAAGGTCACTTGAAATATCAATAACAATCCCTTTTAATAATATTTCACGTAATGTCCCTGTAAAATTATACGTCGTTAGAGTTCGTAAGAGATAAAACTTAGATTTTGTTTACAAGCATATTTCTAAAATATGTCGAGTTTATAAAAAAAACATGTTGGTTTTAAAGATTCTTCTGTTTCCAGAACAGTTATCTTTGATTAAATTTTGGTGGTAAAGCTGGTCTAAGCTCAGGGTATGCTAATATTCTAGGTGAGATGGGGGAAACTATGCTGCATCTATCTTATCAATGATACGGAGCAATCCAACCCGTCCTACCATCCATATAGATATCAGGTACATCAGGCTACGGAGCAATCCAATCCGTCCTACCATCCATATAGATATCAGGTACACCAGATACGGAGCAATCCAACCCGTCTTACCATCCATACAGATACCAGGCACTCCAGGATACTAAGTAGTCCTACCCGTCCTACCATCCATACCTCTATCAGGTACATCAGGATACAGTGTAATCCAACCTACCATCCAAAGTACACCTAATTACGGACTAATCTAACCCGTCCTACCATCCGTACAGATACCAGGTACACCAGATGCGGAGTAATCCAACCCATCCTGCTATTAATTCAGGTACCAGGTACACGAGATACGGAGTAATCCAACCCGTTGCACCATCTATACAGATACCAGGTACACCAGATACGGAGTAATCCAACCCATCCTACCATCCATACAGATACCAGGTACACCAGATACGGAGTAATCCAACCTGTTGTACCATCCATACAGATACCAGGTACACCAGGATACGGAGTAATCCAACCCATCCTACCATCCATACAGATACCAGGTACACCAGGATACGGAGTAATCCAACCCGTCCTACCATCCATACAGATACCTTGTACACCAAGATACAGAGAAATCTAACCCATCCTACCATCCATACAGATACCAGGTACACCAGGATACGGAGCAATCCAATCCGTCCTACCATCCATACAGATACCTTGTACACCAAGATACAGAGAAATCTAACCCGTCCTTCCAACGAGTCGGATACAGAGTAAAGTGTCCAAAGTTAACACATTAAAGATAGTGACTTAATTTCCAATTTTTATTGCATAAGCTGTCTTTTAGTATTTGAGACACAGGTATATGTACTTGGAGTGGGTGTGATTCTATCCAACCATATAATACATACAGATACTTGATACACCATCGCAGTATATGGTTTAATCCAACTCAACCTACCAACACATCAGATTCCGGATACACGAGTATATAAAGTTATGCAAAAATTATCAGACCCGTCCTACAATCCATACAGATACCAGGCATGCCAGGATACTGAGTATTTCAACCCATCATACCATCCGTAAAGATATCAGTTATATGAGGATATGGAGTAATCCAACCCATCCTACCATCCATACAGATACCAGGTACACCAAGATACGGAGCAATCCAACCCGTCCTACCATCCATACAGATACCAGGTACACCAGGATACGGAGTAATCCAACCCATCCTACCATCCATACAGATACCAGGTACACCAGGATACGGAGTAATCCAACCTGATGAAAACTGTGTGCATGGATCTAGTATTTGGGACTTGAGTTCCCAATGTGTTTCAAAATTGTATACAGCATGGAATACTGCTATTAGAATTCTTTTTAATTTACCTAGAGATACGCATAGGTACTTGATTGAAAGTATTTCACAATGTTTACATGTAAAAACTATGTTAGCTAGCAGATGTGTGTCTTTCTATGAGACTATTGAAGCAAGTTCTAAGCTTTGCATTAGATTTCTTTCTAATTCATGTAAAAATTACCTCAACACAGTTCTTGGCAGAAATTTATTTTTCATTGCAAATGATTGTTCTGTAAATCCTTCGGATCTTAATTAAATGTTAGTTAAGAAACAAATGAAATATTTTGATGTCCCATTGGAACATGAATGGAAAGTTCCGGTTTTACAAGAACTTTTAAATACCTAGAATGAATAATTTATATGTTGAAGGATTCGATGATTACGTAATAACTGAAATGATAAATATGTTATGTAGTGAGTAAAAATCAATGTTTTCTATTTCTGCATAATTTTGCATATTTTTTCACTTTTCTTTTAGAAACCTGTATTTTCAAAAAAATTATTTAAACAAAGGAATTGAGTTTTTGCCACAAACTCAAATCTTCTGATCCCAATATCTTTGCAACCTGATCGTGCAAACCTTTGATATTTCAAACTTAGATTATTTTATCTATAAGTATTCATAGTTTTAAATATCTAAGGTCTACTACATTGGATTACAAAGATATAAAGATTAGAAAATCAGAGTTTGTTGCAAAAACTCAACTCCTTTAAACTACACCATTCATTTGTATTTGAAGAAATGATAAAAATATTAATTTCTAGATTGTCTCCAGCAAAATCCTGAGCAGAAAGAATAAATTCTATACTTTAAGTCCAGATGGACTCACTCAGTTCATGGACGGTATTTCTTTTATTACTATAAAGAGGTACGTTAGATGGTACATAGTGCACAGTTCATGGACAGTATTTCTTTTATTACATTAAAGAGATAAAGTACATAGTACAAAGTACACAGTTCATGGACAGTATTTCTTTGATTACAATAAAGAGATAAAGTACATAGTACATAGCACACAGTTCATGGACAGTACATCTTTGATTACAATAAAGAGATAAAGTACATAGTACATAGCACACAGATCATGGACAGTATATCTTTGATTACAATAAAGAGATAAGGTACAAAGAACATAGCACACAGATCATGGACAGTATATCTTTGATTACAATAAAGAGATAAGGTACAAAGAACATAGCACACAGATCATGGACAGTATATCTTTGATTACAATAAAGAGATAAGGTACAAAGAACATGGTCGGCATCTACTTCAATCCAATTTACACAAATTGTGTTTTCATGAAATATTACAACCAACCTTACGACGATCTTGCATTTAGCCAAGCTAACTTACTAATAATGCATTTGTTGTCAACCTTTGATATTTAGTCAAAGCTTGAAATATGTATATTTGAAAATCTTTTGTTTAGTTGGTTAGAAGAAGAGAAGATATATACTGCTCTGACAAAAATAAAAACATTTTTTTGGTTTAGAAAATGGAAAGCGTTCAGGTAAATGTTTGACAGAAAAAAAAATTAAAGAATGAAAATATAAAATAGTATCAACACAAATTCTGTTTTAGCTTTATCTACTTTCTTTACTAATTTGTATAGTCTTTTGTAAAAAGTATTTGGCTCTCACATTATAATATAGAAATCATGAAGTTATCATTTGTATCAAAAAATATAATTATAAAAGAAAAAAGCATTATTAAAAAATAGCTTTTCTTACTTTCCCTTTTTGGTGTAGATGCTGGAGAAATGCCTTGAGTCGACAAAAGTTTAAAAAAGCACGTCAGGTATAGGTAGATAGATAGATATAGATAGATAGATAGATAGATAGATAGATAGATATATAGATAGATAGATATATAGATAGATAGATATAGATAGATAGATATAGATAGATAGATAGATAGATAGATAGATAGATATATAGATAGATAGATAGATAGATAGATAGATAGATAGATAGATAGATAGATAGATAGATAAATAGATAGATAGATAGATAGATAGATAGATAGATAGATAGATAGATAGATAGATAGATAAATAGATAGATAGATAGAAAAGTACTTCTTTACTTTTTGATGGCTTTTTGCTGACAACTGTTCTTTTTCAGGCACTCATTGAGACACATTTTATAAGTTGTTCAGAACTTAGCAATCAATATCTACAGATTCAGGTAAAATAATTGGGGGAAGGGGAGAGGGGGGGAGATTCAGGTAAGTAAATGGGGCAGGGGGTGGGAGATATTTTTGTCGCATTTTTTAGAATTTGCAAGGTTCTTTCTATTTCTAGATGGTATTATCCTCTATATCGGAGATGGGTATGATAGATGTTGGAGTAAACCGAACCTACACTCTTCCAGAGTTTATCAATGAACAAGCGGATAGGATTCAGGAATACATACATAAACATGCATAAACATTCATAAACATGCATAAAAATGCATAAACATGCATAAACATATATAAACATGCATAGACATACATAAACATACATAAACATGCATAAACATACATTTAATTAATTCCTCCGGACGGCAAAAGATATTAACCACTACTTGATCCCAGAATAACTGTTCAATTATGGAATAATCAGCGCGAAGGTTTCAGCTCTTTGTTTAAAGGAACTGTAAGCGTAATTTCAGATGACTCTCCATAAAGAGATGGCAATGCCCGATTTACAACGGTACCCTTGAAACCAAATCTGATCAAAAATGTGGAAGAAACAGTCGTTTTCCTGACTCAAATTTTCTTATTTACTGTGAGTTTCTTCATATATATAATAAAACAAGACATTTATATTTATATGTATATGTTGCCCATAGCAGGCCAAACGTCTGGACCGAATGGGCTGAAATTTTTTGTGGACACTCATTGGTGGTCGGGGTGTGTTAATTATTTTTTTTCAAATTTTTTTTTTCTACGGGCAACACTGGGCCCTTCAGCTAGTTGTTAATTTCGCAGAGAAACCGCTAATGAACATGGATATCTATTTTATACTACTTGATCAGACAAATATTTTGAGGGTATCCTTGTAAATCGGGCGTTGCCATCTTTGCGTGCAGAATCATTTGAATTTACGCAAACTGTCCTTTTAACAGACAATTAGCATCTACTTTCCCCTTTTTCCTAAATTCGCAATTTATTTAACTTTTCTCCTTTCAGTTATATTTACAAGATTTAAGTCCATATTGGTGCTTTGGTTTTGAATTGCAAATTTAAACGTGATCATATTTTTTCGCCTTTTCTCTTTTACTCTTTTCTGTTCGGGTTAGCTCGAGGTAGGATCTATTTCTAATGTTAGTTCAGTGTTTTTTTTCAAGTATGAATGTATAACTGTTAGGCGCTGGATACAAAGCTCCTGGATTTTAGGAACATTATCAGGGATAGAGTCCTAGCAGCTTGCAAGTAGGTTATTAGAGAAAATATTCATAAAGGAGTTGAGTCTTTGCCACAAAATCATCTGATTTTTTAATCTTTACATTACATAGATATTTCAAACTATGAATTTCCCACATTGGGTTGCAAAGATATAGGGATTAGAAAATAAGAATTTGAGGCCAAGACTCAATTCCTTTAAGAATTTAAATTATATTCTTCGAACTTTAGTTAATTCAATAAAAAATGAACTGCAAACTTATCATAAATTTTAATTTTCTATTCCCTATATCTCTGTAAATATTTAAAATTAAAATTTTGAACTTTATCCAGCAGATTTCATATTTTGAAAATCAGGTTGGAAATATGTTAAAAGTTTGTGGTCTTTTTGAAGATTGTTTAAAATACATGAAGTTTGGTGATTTAGAATTATTTTAACAAAATAAAATATAAATGCAAGACGCATCTATAATATCTACCTTACGCATTGCAAATCTATTTTCTATAAAATATTACTTTTCTAAGGTCCACCTTCCAGGCAGCAGGTTTCTGTGCAGATAAATATGAAACTGAGCTAGAGGAACTACAGAACCGAAGTAAATCAGAGAACAGTTCTTTAATCAGGTATAGGGTTTAACTATGTAGGAACTATACACTTCGAGTATATCAAAAAAAAGTTATTTAATCAGGTATAGGGTTTAACTATGTAGGAACTATACACTTCGAGTATATCAAAAAACAGTTCTTTAATCAGGTATAGGGCTTAACTATGTAGGATTTATAAACCCGGAGTATATGTATAGGGTTTAACTATGTAGGAACTATAGACCCGGAGTATATCAGAGAACAGTTCTTTAATCAGGTATAGGGTTTAAAAATGTAAGAATTATACACTTCGAGTATATCAGAAACTGTTCTTTAGTCAGGTATAGGGTTTAACTATGCAGGATTTATAAACCCGGAGTAAATCAGAGAACAGTTCTTTAATCAGGTATAGGGTTTAACTATGTAGGAACTATAGACCCGGAGTATTTCAGAGAACAGTTCTTTAATCAGGTAAAGGGTTTAACTATGTAGGAACTGCAACCCGGAGTATATCAGAGAACAGTTCTTTAATCAGGTATTGGGTATAACTATGCAGGAACTATACACTGGAGTATATCAGAGAACAGTTCTTTTATCAAGTATAGGGTTTAACTATGTGCAGGAACTATAGACCCGGAGTATATCAGAGAACAGTTCTTTAATCAGGTATAGGGTTTAACTATGTAGGAACTATAGACCCGGAGTATATCAGAGAACAGTTCTTTAATCAGGTATAGGTTTAACTATGCAGGAACTATACACTGGAGTATATCAGAGAACAGTTCTTTTATCAGGTATAGGGTTTTACTATGCAGGAACTATACACCCGGAGTATATCAGAGAACAGTTCTTTAATCAGGTATAGGGTTTAACTATGTAGGAACTATACACCCGGAGTAAATCAGATAATAACTCTTTAATCAGGTAGAAGAACGTTTAACTACAAAGGAACAATAAACATTGAGTTAATCGAAACGCAGGCTTTAGTCGCGAACTTGAATCATTTGGAATGATTTTTCTAAAACTAAATATTTTACTAAAAAACTAAATATTTCATTTAACAGTTCAAAGCGGAACGGAGATGGGAGAAAGAAGGTTTCTTTCATTGAGCAGGCCAAGAAGAGGACAGATTGTTATAGACTAGCCTGCTATATCATGAGTATTGATCTTATGCTCATATCAGTCCTGCATAAGGTATTAATTGTATGCATTATATCCCTCCTTTATTAGACATTCATGATTTTATCCGTCCTATATCAGATATTCATGCTTATATCCGTCCTATATCAGATATTCATGCTTATATCCGTCCTTTATCAGGTATTCATATTTATAGCCTTCCTATATCATGCATTCATGCTTTTATCAGTCCTATATAAGATATTTATGCTTATATCCGTCCTTTATCAGGTATTCATGCTTAAATCTGTCATATCAGGTATTCATGTTTATATCCGTCATATGCTTATATCCGTCCTTTATCAGGTATACATGCTTAAATCTGTCATATCAGGTATTCATGTTTATATCCGTCCTATATCATGCATTCATGCTTAAGTCTGTCATATATTTGGTATTTATGTTTATATCCGTCCAATATCAGATATTCATGCTTATATTCGTCTTATATCATGGTATCCATGCTTATATCCGTCCTAAATCAAATCATGGTTATTTCCGTCCTTTATCAGATATTAATGCTTATATTCCGTTTTTTTTTTAGATATTCATGTTATGTTCAACTGTAATACTTCTAGCTAGTATTGAACTCTATGACAACTATCCAAGACTCTATCCTATACTTCTAGCTAGTATTGAACTCTATGACAACTATCCAAGACACTATCCTATACTTCTAGCTAGTATTGAACTCTATGACGACTATTTAAGACTCTATTCTATACTTCTAGCTAGTATTGAACTCTATGATGACTATCCAAGACTCTATTCTATACTTCTAGCTAGTATTGAACTCTATGACGACTATTTAAGACTCTATTCTATACTTCTAGCTAGTATTGAACTCTATGACAACTATCCAAGACTCTATCCTATACTTATAGCTAGTATTGAACTCTATGACGACTATCCAAGACTCTATCCTATACTTCTAGCTAGTATTGAACTCTATGATGACTATTCAAGACACTATCTTATACTTCTAGCTAGTATTGAACTCTATGACGACTATCCAAGACTCTATCCTATACTTCTAGCTAGTATTGAACTCTATGACGACTATCCAAGACACTATCTTATACTTCTAGCTAGTATTGAACTCTATGACGACTATCCAAGACTCTATCCTTTACCGACTGGCTGGGGCTGAAGAAGCTAAACTGAAAGCAAAACAAGGAAAAAAGAAAAAACTACAGGTTCGGAAAATCATAATTATTAATGATTTAATATCATTTAAAAAGAAAAATCACAAAAGTTAATGATTAATCTATTTAATAAAGCTCTTCGCTCATATACATATATTAGGGTGTATGTATATTTATGTCAGCTATAACTTGGCCAAACGGCTAGACGGAATGGAATGATATTTTTTGAGGGAACCTTTAAGTACCCCAGGGGTAACATAGGCTAAAAAATTATAATTTTTTTTTCAAAAGTCGCAATTTTTTCCTAAAAAATTGTAATTTTTTTTTAAAAATAAATTTGTTGAAAAAAATCCCACGGGCAACGCCGGGCACTTCAGCTAGAATTATTTTAAAAAGGAAAGCCACAAAAATTAATAAGCTATAGCCTTGTTATAAAATAAAATGGAAATAAATTTATTTTTTAAATGTAGCTGAACATTTATACGCAAATTCGTACATCTAGAATGATTTTAAATCCCAGCTAAACCTTCAATTAATTGTCCAGTGATTTTCAATTTAGTTTGTTTGCCCGGTAAACCCATTTCCAGAACATTAAAAAATTCGAGCCAATTCTCCTAAATTTGTTTTTGCTTTGAAGGGACGGAGTGGCGTATCTGGTGATATAGCTGGGAACTCTGGACCTCCTCCTCTCTTCGTTACTCATGTCGTCCTAAACCATAAGGTACAGGGTGTCCTAATAAACATGGGAATTCTAAGCCTTAAGCTGGCCAATAATGTTTAGATATATCGTCATTTTTCTTGCTTTTAAAGTGTTTAATTCTGATGATTCATCTGTTCTTTCTGCAGCAGTAATGCATAAATCTGTTTTGTAGTTAACCTTGTACTTTTAGGGAATGAGTTTCAGTCCGAACAAGATGGATTTCGAGCACGGTATGGAGGGTGTAGTGGCTAAACTAGAGGAAACATTGTTGTGTATAAAACCACTTGTCATGGATCCGGTTTTTTATCCGTTCACTAGACCTGTACTGTACGGCAGGCAGGAGGATCCGGTTTTCAAGGTAATAAAGGGCCTTTCTCACGTTTTGTGAAAGTTTTTGTTTGAACATTTTTGTTAAGCAAGATGCAGTGCAAATTCAATTATCAAAAATGCTAATTTTAATCAATGAAAAACGTGCTTTTATTTAAGCATTTTAAAAGGTAATCTAATTGCGAATAAATTTTAAAACAATGTGGCAATAAAATTTGTATGATACCTTCCAAGATTGTGTCGAAACCCTTGTCAGCTATTTTTCACGTAATTGTGCTAATAAATTAAATAATTTTTGCCGTAATTTCAAATAACCTTTTACTTAAAAAGTTATACAGTGGTTCTCTTCCGGCCTTTGTCTGAACAAAGCTAATGGATATACAGAGTTATTCACAAAGGATGAGACTGTAAAGACGACCTGAAACTCTTTAAATATGACTATTCCCAGGCTTAGATGAGTCTCTTTAATGTAGTCTTTTAATGGCTTATTTCATGATTTAAAAAGGAAAGAATGAAGTTTACAGTCGCAGCGAATCATGAATACAAGGAAACTGAGATTTTAACGTCCGTAAAGTCGTCTCTGAATTCTCATTCTTTTTGGGTAACCCTGTACTTGTTTTTCTACGTAAGAATTAATAATTTACAGATATATGTAGCAGAGATGCAGAATGAAATAGCAGAGATAAAGAATGAAATTGACGAATTTTATCTCTCTTCAAAATAGAAGAAGACGATATTTTCTTCATTTTTTATCAGATAAATGGTCCAAAATAGTAGTGTTTTGAATCGGGTAGACGAGCTTTTAAATATAGGGTCACTTGGAAATACGTTGTTCCCAGAAAGTCCTTATTCTAATATTGATCGTGACATAGTTGTAATCCAAATATTATTTGATTGATTTTCCTTGTATTCAGCATGGACCCTCTCTACGCCATATTCTGGACAATGATATTACAAGTAGAAACCAGATTATACAAATATCAACAACTCTTCAACAATCCTTCGACATGGGAGCTGCTCATTTAGGTAATATTCGACATAGGAGCTACTCATTTAGGTAATATTCGACTTAGGAACATACTCATTTAGGTAATATTCGACATGGGAGCTACTCATTTAGGTAATATTCGACATGGGAGCTACTCAGTTAGGTAATATTCGACATAGGAGCTACTTATTTAGGTAATATTCGACATGGGAACTACTCATTTAGGCAATATTTGACATGGGAACTACTCATTTAGGTAATATTCGACATGGGAACTACTCATTTAGGTAATATTCGACATAGGAACATACTCATTTAGATAATATTCGACATGGGAGTTACTCATTTAGGCAATATTCGACATAGGAACTTCTCATTTAGGTAATATCTAACATGGTTGCATACTCATTTAGATAATATTTGATATGGTAGCATACTCATTTAGGTAATATTTAACATGGTAGCATACTCATTTAGGTAATATTTAACATGGTAGCATACTGATTTAGGTAATATTCGTCATGGGAATATACTCATTTAGGTAATATTTGATATGGTAGCATACTCACTTAGGTAATATTTGATATGAAAGCTAGTCATTTAGGTATAAGTGGACATGGGAGATACTATTTAGATAATCTCTGACATGATAGCTATTAAATGCAATATTGTAATACTAGTCATTTTCTCTTTGTGTACATTGTAAGAATAAAACATTCGCGGATTTTATCAAAACAAATTTTAAGGCAGATTTTTTAAAATTCGATCACCCATAAACCTTCCCTAGGGTCACACGAGGTACCACAAAAAACTATGGCCAGGGGGTGAAATAGGCTACAAAAAATCTCGACATTTTTTTCAAAAATCGATTCAGCTAGTAATATTGTAATATTATAGAGGAGTTTTATGATATAAATATGCACTTTAATATTGTAATATTATAGAGGAGTTTGATGATATAAAGATGAACTAAAATATTGTAATATTATAGAGGAGTTTGATGATATAAAGATGAACTATAATATTGTAATATTATAGAGGAGTTTGATGATATAAAGATGAACTATAATATTATAATATTATAAAGGAGTTTGATGATATAAAGATGAACTATAATATTATCATATTATAGAGGAGTTTGATGATATAAAGATGAACTATAAGCGGAATGAAACTACAGATCTAGAGAGTATAATGTCTAGCAAGGCAGATGTAGAATTCTATAATACTCTTCTAGCAGACTTCAAGAACCAACGAGAGCGAACTAGGGTAGGTTTTATGACTTTTAAGTCTGTAAAGGAACTGTAGACGTAAGTTTACATGATCCTTCATTTTTAGATTTACAAATTAAATTCACATCGGTAATTTTTAGACCTTTGCCTGGCAAGGATTACGAAGATATCCTTAATTTTCTACCTGAAAACTGACATTCTAGTTTCCTGGCACATTATTTTAAGAAAGATAAATTATGAGTTGGTCAGACAATGTTTAAAGGGTACCTGTGTAAATCAGAAATAGAACTCTATAAATGTCTAGTTGCGCCCAACATCCCTTTATATCTAAATTTAAGAAATAATTCTAAAAAAAGAACAAAATTTGATGCATGTTGGCTTAACAATATGTATGTTATTTAAATGGCATTTATAAAGATTTAGAACGGAAGGAATAAATATTAAAACCTCTAAAAAGTTTTTTTTCGACAAGAATTATTGTTTTTGTCAGTTATTATTCTTGTAATGTGTTTCAAACAAAGAGTTTTAATGGTGCTTATAGATTCAACTTAATCTACTAAATCATCTATCTTTTATCAAAATTATATAAACTTTTATTATAGAATATTGTGGATACAGTTGCAGTTGGTATTTTCAAAATAAACTTTGCTCTGCTCAAGAATAAAGCTCTTCCTGTCATTAATAGGTAAAAAAAATAGAAAAATTAATCAAAATTCTAGGATTTATCATTTACAATTATTTAGTTGTATTGAGAAGTTATACTCAACTCTTCCAAGAATTGCAAAACAGAAAATGGAAAGTATTTTAAAGGTAAAAGAAACTAAAGAAATAGAGCACTTGCCTCAAATTTTGATTTTCGAATCGAAATAGTGTGTTGTTGTTGTTAGACTATTTTTAAATCAAAACAAAATTCATATCGAGGATCGTGGAATAGAAAAACTCATTTTCTGATTTTAAATATTTTTTTGAACATGATACCCAGCATTAATGTAGTGTTTACTCAGACACGTAATCATTAAATGGACGGTAAGTGTAATTTAACGTGACCTTTTCCGTTCAAGCAGGTATTATATATCAATGTTTCTAATTTTAAAACTGTTTTATGTTGTGGTGCCTCTTTATAAGTTACTTGTGTAATATGTGTTTCTACTAATTTGTAAGAATTAGATACTTTTCAACCTAGAAAGTATCTTTTACACTATTCACCAGATAAAGGGAACTGTAGTGAATCGGGCATTGCCATCTTTGCATGGAGGTTGACTTAAAATTACGCTGACAGTTCCTTAAATAAACATATTTTCAATTTACACTGGTAATAGTATTTGCTTAATAATAACATGAAATACAAATGACATTAATGTGAAGTTTGTGTCAAGTAACTAATTTCCCTTTCAAAAACTATAGAAAGGAATTGATTCTTTGCCACAAACTCTGAATTTATAATCCATATATCTTTAAAATTCAATCTCGCAAATGTTTGATATTTCAAACTTACTTTATTTGATCTAACAGAATTCATAGTTTGAAATATCTAAGGTCTACGACATTGGAATCCAAAGATATAGGGATAAGAAAAGTAGAGTTTGTGGCAAAGACTCAATTACTTAAATTATTTTTTTCTTTCTAGGAATGTCAAAAGAACAAATCTCAATTAGACGTTGAACCAAAATCATCACAGGATTTTGTTAAAAATCTAGAATTACTTGAGTCAATGGATGCTAGTATTGGAGATCTACGTGAACGGATTAGATTCGTAGATCATCTTTTCACACTGATGGGTCAATACCTAATTCCTTTAACAGCTGAGGATATGGGACTACTCACCACAATTAAAACCCAGCTCGGTAAGTCAAAACATTAAAATCGTTATAAACAGATTTTTTGATTATAATTTTTTAGATGGACTTACTTCTTCAACGGAAACTAAGAAAGCTAACAAATTTTCTCTTTTGGAAAAGTTCAAAGAAGAATTGGCGAATGAAGTTTCTATTTTGAAAGATTCTATTTTGAATATAACTCAAGAAATTGAAAGTCCTACTCTTCTTGACCCAGAGTCAACATATGATGAAGTTATTCAAACCATAGAGAAGATTCAGTCTTCCATTGATGTAGTAAAAAAGAAAGCTGAAACCCTTCAAAGCTACGAAGAACAATTTGACTTTCCTCGCAATGAGTTCTGGGAAATTGATAGCGCTGAATTTAATATCTATCATCTGAATCTCCTTTGGGATTCCATGGAGAAATGGGAGGCGTGGTCTCAAAACATTCTAGCAATGGACTTTAATCTTCTTTCAGTTGATGATTTTGTCACAACTATTATGAAGTTTAGTGACACTCTTGCAGAATTAAAAGCCAAGGATGAACCGAATGAGGTTCTTACATTGTTGACAAACAAGGTTTACAGTTTTAAATCAAAGATTCCTTGCATAACCTATCTAAGGAACCCGCAACTGAAACAAAGACATTGGCTGAAAATAGAGGAAATAGCTGGTGATGATATTTCACGAGGTGTTACCCTTGAGTTTATTGAAGACAGGGGAGTGTTTGAAAAGGAAGAGGAAATCAAAGTTGTGTGTGATAAAGCAAAAGCTGAAGGGAAGCTTGAAGACCTTCTAAATCACCTAGAAAAAAAGTGGCATGAATGTTCATTGACTACCATGAATAAAATGGGTTGCAATGTTATTGCAGATTTTGCCCCTATTTGGATAATGATTGAAGAAAGCATTGAAATCATTAAAGTCATTGGAAACTCCATGCACAGTGCTACACTCAGACCCCAGATCATGGAGTGGAGTGAAAAGCTTGATATGATGGAAACCTCCCTGGAAAGGTTGGATATAATTCAAGGATTTTGGCTGGATCTTGAACCTGTTGCTACCACTAATGATATAAAATGGCATCAGCTTGAACTTTATAATACCTACATGGAGATAAGTTTAGAGTTTAAAGGGGTTTTGGAGAAAGTGACCCAAAATTCAGATATTATTAAAGCACTTACGGATGAAACCGTGTCTCAGACCCTTGATGATCTTGATGATAAATTCCTGGATTTCTACAAGTTTATGGATAACTTACTGGATCCAAAAAGAGCAATGTGTCCACGCCTCTACTTCATAAGTGACAAAGAAATGATCACTCTCTACCGAGAAGCCTCGAATGACATCAAAAAGATTGAGCCTTACATCAGAAAAATGTTTAAAAATGTTGATGAATTAGTTTTCAATGAGGAACAAGAAGAGGACGAATACAAGGTTATCCACAGATACAATCCTCTTTTAAGTGGATTTAAATCTTCAGAAGGAGAATATGTTAAGTTTCACAGAGTTTTCAAAGCCAGGGGACAAATTGACGAATGGATAAAATTTCTTGATCACTTTATGAAAACGACTCTTATCTTTCTCTGCAGAGAACTCAAGGCAAAATCTAAACTAAGAAGAAAATTGTTTGAAGATGTCCTGGATGATCACAAGTACCCTTATCAAGTTACAGCAATTATTGCTCATTATATGTGGTGTGAAGAGCTATTGAGCTTAAGTCGGAAAGGAATCTCAGAAGTTATTATGGATGTTCATAACATGAAAAAAAGATTAACTAAAAAGCTTGTCAAGTTAAATGATAACATTATGAGCATGTCTGGTCTGGAAAAGTTGAGAGCAATTGCAAAAGTTCAGCATATCATGTATTGGGTCGAATACCTAGATAACTGGGAGGATGATCGTCAGGAAGAAATAATAAGATATGTTTGGGATGATGAAAATAATGAGGTTCTCATTCAGATTGACAATGATGTGTTCAGGTACGGATATGAGTATGTAGGACTCTCACCAATTTTTCAACCAACAGTTATTGGTGGAAATCCAGCATTGGCCTTTAAAATGGCCTTAAAATACAACTTGATCATTGATGCTTCAGAAATGCACACATTGAACAAACTTTCAAAGGTTTTTGGTACGAATATGAAAACCATTCTTTGTAACAACCCAAATATGACTCTCAAAATACAGCAACACTTAGTTGGATCAAGCATGAGTGGGTCTTGGATAAATCTGAAGAATTTAGATTCTGTAGATCAGCATGATCTTACCAAGATATTTCAGATCATGCAAAGGTTAAGAAATGCTAGGATATTTGGAAGTAAAACATTTATTTTCAATGGCAAGGATGTTAAACAGCTCCCAACTTGTCAGATGATCATGAGTAATGAACATATTATGGGAAATCTTAAATTCTTTGGTCGACCTGTTACTTTTGAAGAACAGGATGAAAGAACAGTTCTGAAATATGTTTTACTTCAGAAAGGAACAAGCAACACCAACATGTTAGATACTCTTCAAAACATTGTCAATGATTGTATTGAAGTAAATATCCATGGAATTTTTAATAGGATGATGAAGGCTATATTTAGTACTGAAAGTATTGATCAGCTTGATATCATTAATACTTTTATTAAGCTCTCTGAATTTGAAATGAATGACAATTTTACTTTCATTGCCAAAATATGTCAAGCTTATGTTCCAGAATTAAAAGTTCCTGCAAGTGCTCCAGGAAGTTTTGATGTGGATACAGATGACTGTTTACTATCAGCTAGTTTACAAATCTACAGTGCTTATAATAATCATCGATTCATTGCAGTTGTTGGTGAAGAGCAGGGAGTTGGTAAAACTTACCATATCAGCAAAGTTTTGGAGCATAAAGAAAAGCAGGGAAAGGAAACCATCAGAATTTACCCTTTGTCCTATGGAGCAAAGTATCTTGTGCCAGGTACTAACCACTATTCAGTTTCAAAAATTCTAGGCTCTTTTCTGAATGACATTGGGGAAAATGGCGGTACCATCCATTTTTGTGGTGCTTTGGATGTTGAGTTTAGAAGCTGTTTGGAGACAATTGCTCCAGATTCTCCGTATATGCTGCTGGAGAATGGAGAATATGCAACATTATCTTCAAATCTGAATTTTATCTTTGAAGTAACTGATCTAGAATCTGAGTTGCCAGATAATATATCTGAACAAGTAACATTAATCTCAATACCAAATAAGAAAATGGAAATCTCCATAAAGCTCTTCCAAACCTGGATAGATGATTTGACCCTTTTAAAAATGGAAGATGAGGTAAAGGAAATTGTCCAAAAACATCTAAAGAAATTTCATATCCTGTTATGTAAATCTTTGGACATTCTTCAAAGAAATTTCCCCAGCAAACTAGCACCTCGATTTATATCTGCAACAGTCTCTATTCTGAAGTTTTTCAATGGACAACTGGAGTGGATGAAATGTGAAATGAATGAGTACAATGTTGTAAGAATCTATATGTACACTCTAGTCTGGTCTTTTTCTGGATATATTAGCCAGGCTGATAGAACAAAATTTGTAGAACTTCTCCGAGATGAAGTTGAGTCCTCTGGGTACTTCAATATACAGATTGATTGGGATTTTGTGCATGGCCGGATTAATCAGGATGGTTCAATCAACACTTGGGAGGAAATTAAGTTCCTTCACCGGAGAGAAAAAACTGAAACTGGCTATGTTAGTGTTGAAAGTCAAGAGATTGCAATATATCTTATACTTCAGAACATTCTTCACAACAGACACTGTTTGCTGATAGGACCATCAGGGTGTGGTAAATCTACCATATTGAAGAAGGTTGTGGATCAGAACTACAAAATAATATTCAAGGATCAGGTTGAATTTTATATGACAGCATCTACTACAGCTAGTCAGGTTGAGGAGCTTATTGTTGAAGCAATGAAACGAAGAATCAAACCGTACAAGATATTACTTGTCCTCTACAATGTTGATTGTAATAATGTACATCACCTGGAGCTTGCCAGATCACTTTGTGAAAATAGAAACATCTATCTATCTTTTCAGAAAAGATGGATTACTCTTTCTGATATCACAGTTTGTATAGAGTCTTCATCAACAATATCAGCTGATCCTCCCTCCAGTCTTCAATCATTGGTCTCAGCCACAGCTGTTGTTTCTCTAGATGAAGATTACCAGGAGCTTGAAGATATCTATGAATTTCAATTTGCATCATTCTTTGAGCAAATTCTAATGATTGATCAAGAAGGATTGAGTAAACTGGCAGCAAAGCTTATCGTGTCCATTTATAAAGATGCCCAAAAAGTGTCAAGTCTCTTTACTCGTCACAACATCATGAGATGTTTCAGAGGAATCCTAAAAGCTCACCCAGACAGAGTTACCAATGAAGAAACCTTGCTTCAACTCATCCATCTTGAGCTTACTGCTGAGCTTCAGGATTGTTTAGTCAATGATCATCTCAGGAAGGCTTACATTGACATTCATGAAGGTCACTTTAAAAGACTCTTCAATGTACCAAGTGAAAAGATTAAAGAGTTTGATAAAAAATTCATTTTGATGTTTAAAATTGATGATGAAGAATGTTCCGATGATGAATCTCAGTCTGAGATAAAAGAAATGCATTTTATTGAAAATGCTCAGCTTGATGATATTTTAGTAGAAGCATATCCTAAGATTAGGGGCAAACTCAACCTTTCTAGTTATGATGAGAAGATTGTGTTTTCTCCAGAATACAAACAATATTTCATAAACTTACTTCGTGCTTTGGATTCCGATCAAGATATCATCCTAATTGGTGAAGCTGGAGTTGGGAAAAGATCAATGGCCAGATTTGCAACATTGTTTATGGGATTGGAGCTAATTACCATTGATGAGGATAAAGAATGGAAAGAGGTCTTCAGAAATGCTTTACTAGATGCCAGCAAAGATGAAGCAGACATGATTATCATTGTTGGACCTGAACATGCATCAAACAATGAAGCTCTTGCTGCAATATCTGATATAAGAGCATATGGCTTTAGTTGGAGTTTGATTGATGATTATGAAAGGAAGGATTTGCTGTATGCAGATCATGAAGATCCTTTTATGTCCCTGTTCAGCAAAGCTAAGTATGAAGAGATGAACAATGCACTGGTTGAGAAAGTTAATCATAATCTTAATTTTGTATTTTGTTTGGAGGATCAGGAATGTGTCTTTGATATGGTTCAGAACTATCCATTTATCATGAGAAACTGTGTTCTTATCCATTGCAAACAATGGTCAGATGAAACAATGACAGCTATAGCTCAAGACAGGTTTGAAGATCTGAAACCTAAAATAAGCCTTCCTATAAATGAAATAGCTAAATGCTGTTCAAAACTACACCAATTCTGTCGTGAAACTTATGAATCAACAACATCTTCACAGTATTTGGAGTTTACAGCTTTATTCCCAGAAATGTACAAGGACATGGAAGAGGAGCTCAATGAGAGCAAAAAGAGCTTAGAGATTGGAATTGAGCAGGCAATCAAAGCACAGGCGCATATTGCAAGGCTTACCTCAGAAACAACATCTAAAGAACCAGAGATTAAAAAACTGATTGCAGAAGCAGAACAGCTTACTAAAAGGCTGACACAAGAAAAACAGAATCTTGAGAAAGCAAGTCAAACCTTTAGGAAAAAAGAGGCAAAAGCAAGAGCCAAGTCAGAAATAACAGAGGAACTTGCTGCAGACACTCATCAAAATCTAGAACAGGCACTCCCACATTTGGAGTCTTCTATGGAGGCCATCAATTCAATTGACAAAGGAGAAATAGCAGAAATGAGAGGTTTCAAGCAAGTACCAGAACTGGTTCTGAATGTTTTGGAAGCTGTTTGCATACTTCTTGGAGTTAAACCAGACTGGCCAACTGCCAAAAATTTGCTGGCAGAGCCATCTTTAATTCAGCAACTAGTGGAATATGATAAAGATAATGTATCAGATGCTGTTCTAAAGCGGATAAGAAGATATATTGAGAACCCAAAGTTTGTTCCTGATGAGGTTGCAAAGGTGAGTAGAGCATGTTGCTCATTGTGTATGTGGGTGAGGGCAATTGATTACTATGCCAAAGTGTTCAAGACTATAGAACCCAAACGAATTAAATTGCTGCAAGCGGAATCTGAGCTTGCAGAGGCAATGACATCTCTGAGAAAGGAAACAGATCGTGTCACTCACATTGAAACAACAATTACTAATATTCAACTCTCACATGTTGAAAAACTGAAACGGAAGACTGCTCTTGAAAACCATGTTCATGAGTTGCAAGGGAACTTGGAAAGAGCAGAGAAACTGGCCTATTCTTTGGAAGAAGAACTCAGAAAATGGAAAGAACACATGCATATTCTTGATAGACAGTTAGAAACCCTATCTGGCGATTGCTTAATTGGGGGCATGATTATTGCCTATGGAGGTCAGTTTGAATTCAAAGAAAGAGCTCTTGCTATCAATGCCTGGAGAGACATCTGTGAGGAACACAGGATTCCAATCAGCACTCTCAGCATCTTAGATATATTTGAGCCAATTCTGAACATTGATTATCTTAGAGCAGATACACTTCCAGCATTTGATTTCTATCAAGAAAATTGTCTCATTGTTCAGAAAAGCAAGAAATGGGTTCTTTTTGAAGATCCTGATAATCTTGCTAAAGCATGGATTCATCAAGCAGAGTGCAACTCAAGGATATTTGAGGTTGATCTCCATGATCCAAATTTGGTGAAAAACCTGAAAATGTCTTTAAACAAGGGGCACATTTTTGTCATTGATAATTTTAGCAAAGATTATCCTCAAGAAATTGACAAGCTTATTCAATATGAGATCTACGAAAGGTTGAGAGTATTTGTGGGACTAATAGGAATACCGGAGAAGAAAAAAGAATTAAAAGTTCTTGTTGGGTCTTCAGAGATCACAGTGCACAAAAACTTTAAGCTCTATCTTAGATCAGAAAGTGTGGAACACAGAAAACAACTACAAGAATTTTTGAAAATTGTGAACTTCAAAATGAGCTCAGAACTATTTAAATCTCATATTTTGAAGCAAGTTATCAGCCTGGATAATCCGGAACTAGAAAAAGAAAGACTTGCTCTTTTAAATAACCAATTTCTTAGAAAGGATAAATTTGAACTGGAGAAAAATATTATTCTGAAGCTACTTTACAAAGCACAAGATGCTCTGCTAGAAGATGAAGACCTTATCAGTAAAATTACGGATGCGAAAGCGAGTGTTGTTAATGCTATGAATGCCCAAAGAGAGGCTGATGAAGCATCTGAAGAGCTGGAGAAGAAGAGAATAAAGTATCTTCCTTTGATCAACGGGATAACTGAAGTCTACAAGATAGTGGAAAAGTTCAAAGAAGTGGATCCAATATATTTTTTCTCCACGAAGAGTTTTGTTCAAATTCTGGAGAAGAATTGGAAAAGCATAGATCCTGGAATATCCACGGTCGAAATAAAAGTAAAAGAATGCCTTCCAAAAGTTCTGAAAGACTTGAGCTTATTAGTGACACATGGGCTACATGCCAGTCACAAGCTAGAATTTCTTCTGGTCTTTATCATAAACGTTGTTCATGAAGGGGAATCAGAACTAGAGAAAACAGAAATGAAAAATATTGTAAAATCATGTTTTGCTAACTTTGAAGAAACTGACTCTGTAAAAGATGATGCAGTGGGTGTAAACGATTTGAAGGATGGTCCTTCCAAACGGTTAAATCACTTCTTAGAAGCTGTAAAAGACAGGTTTTTAAAGAAGCAATCAATTTATTCTGCCATAACAACATTCATTGAATCTGAGCTAAGATGTATTGGAGTCTACCTCGATGTTGAAGATCTCACCAAGAGAGTTTATGTGATTACTGACAAATCAGAACCTATCCTCATAGTGGAGAATGGAACTCTTGATACATGGTGGCTGATCGGTAAGCTTACAGCTCATGCTAAAACTAACAAACCCAGACTTCTTGTCATGGGCAAACATCTGGACAGCCAGGAGATCAATAAAACGGTTGAAGATTGTAAAAACTCCAAAACCATATTGATCATGCAGGGACTGCATAATCAAATTGACGAACTTGCAAAGCTTAAGATTCCTGAAACTGATGAAAATTTCATGGTCTATGCTACAATTCCAAAGGTAAAAAATCAAACATTTTTTTTTTAAAAACATGGCTTTCATTTAATGATTTATATTTGCAGGGGAAATCACTGCCTTATTCTATAATGGTAAAATTTCGACTTCAGAATATAGATCTGCCAACAACCACCATCGACCGAGTTGAAGCATTATTATACCTTGTCGCAGATGAGTTTAATATCAACGAAAACCTGAAGAAAGTTGGATACAAATCCTTCCTAGCCTGTGTTCTACTCTTCCATGTGAAAGTTCTAGAGACGGAGAGATGTGAGGACTACTCGGATCTAGAGTTGAGACTTCTTCTGGATACGTTCACCAAGTTTATGAGAAGAGATATACATACCAGGTTATAATACAAAAAAGCTTGAAGGAACTGTTAACAAAAGTCATCTTCTATCTAAAGAGTTGTATAAACCGATTCACAATGGTACCACTTAAACCTTTATCAGAGTAATGATCGACATTTATTTACTTATAAAAGTGTTAAGTTACTCCCTTGTCTCAGCATAAATCCGCAAGTTGCTTTGATCAAGTAACCACATTGGGAAAATATCATCTTTCAGGTTTAAAAACAAGTGTATCTTCATCATCATCTCAAATGGCGGTTTAGAGATCTCTTTGTGAATCTTGCATTCTCCTCTTTAGATAGAGGGTCACTCTTCATCCTCTTATTTTAAAATTCCTAAACCGTTGCAAGCTGATGGTCTACCAACATGAAATAACAAATAGTCAAAAAGTAGATTGCAAAATTATAGGAATTAGTTAATCTGATTCAACAGTTTAAAATCATCACAATTTTAGTCAAAATAATCCTGGGTTTCTATCAAATTTGAGAAATTTGTTAAAACAATTTTTGCAAAAATAATCGCTCAAAATAACCCTGGGTTTCTACCAAATTTCAGAAATTTGTTAAAACAATTTTTGCAAAAATAATCGCTCAAAATAACCCTGGGTTTCTATCAAATTTCAGAAAGTTAAATATATTTTCTGTTCTCAGGACGACATTATAAGATAACAGCTAAATCTTTTTCTTCCTAGCTAATTGACATGCTTGAAAACCAATTTTTTTTTATTTATAAAACTTAAATTACTCCACTTTAAACCAAAATAAGAGAATTCTTGTGGTTCTACCGAGTTCCCTAATAAAAAAAATTGAGTCTATACCACAACCCCATGGCGTACACTTTAGATATTTCAAACTATGAATTCTGTTGGATCAAATAATCTAAGTTTAAATATCAGGGAAATATAGGGATAAGAATGTTTTTAGATTAATATTTTATTGAAACTTTGTCTTCGCAGCTGGCGCTGGATTTTCGAATATTCCTAGAAAATATGAAAATGTCGTCTTAGTTATCAAAAACCTCAAAATATATTTCAGGAATGAATTTTTTCAAAAGTAACACTCGGATCATATAAAATAAAATATATTATGAAATATCATGAAATCATGAAATATTATGTGCATCAAAATGAATTCCACTTTCATAGGTTGTGAACTTGTAATATCTGAATGATTAGTTTTTAATATACAGAGCGTCCTATATCATATTAGATTAGTTTTAACGCCAAAATAAACCTATATTGCTCGAAAAACCTAGCATTTTTTGAAAGAAAATTCTTATATTAGCCTTATTCAATTTTTCAAAATGATTCAATCTTTTTAAATTATCTGACTAGTCCCGAAAATCGTGATTTTGACCGATTAACGATCTAATATGATATGGGACACCCTGTAGTTGAATTGTTTACAAACTAAGTGGAATAATGCAGCACTGTATATTTGTATGGAGGTTACGCTCTTGGTTATAAGACATATTCTCTTTAACCATTTTCTCCTTATAAACCTAACAGATAAAAGGTAAAATAGAAGCAATCAATATCGAATTCAATTCGATGTTAGCCTTTTTATTTTTCGCGAACATAACCATTAAGAAATTTATTTTTCCTTTGATTTTTATTTAAAATTGATGTTTTTATCAAGGTACAACTATCTGACTCGAATGGCTTCTATAATATATCAGGTTGAGGAACTTGATATATTAAATGAAATTGCTGAAATTGTATCTGAGTTTGCACTGGAAGAAGAGTTTTCAAAGGTATACATCAGGGTTACCCACAAGGATGAGACTTCAGAGACGACTGTACGGACTTATTTTTACAATATTTTATCATTGGTTTCGTTTATTTGTAAACTTCTTTCTTTTTCATGTAGTTTGCCAATAAAAAGTAGTATTCAAGACCGAGGTTAAATTCAACCTACAGGTCGTCTTATTTACAAAAGTTTCAGGTCGTCCTCAAAGTCGAATTCTATGTGGGTGTAACCCTGTAGATATTTTGTTTGTCTGCTTAAATTTTTTTTTACTCTAGTATCGTTAAACCGATCGGGATAAATTTTGTTCGGGACCTCGTAAAAAATCTTTAAAATCTTAAACTGTTATCTTTAACGAAAGCCTCCTGAAAACCTAGTTTTATAACAAAATGGTAATAAAAATTATCATACAGGGTTATCTTAAAGGATGAGACTTAAAAACAACCTTAAACTCTTTAAATCTGACGTCTCATCCTTTGTGGGTAATCTTGTTTCATAAAGAATCAGATTAGCAATTCGGTCAACCTTTCCGGTCCCAGTTTGTACTGTATCACTCGGACATAGTGTAAATAAAGCAGAACTCAATATGACTTGCCGGTGCAACAAGGTTGACTCAGTCAGACTTTAAGTTGAATTTACTTTTACTAAAGGATCAGAGGTGCGTGGACATAAAATGATTTCACTATTGTTTTAAGGCTTTTGTTGGTGTGCATAACAAGACTAGTTCAGCACTCTTAAATTGGGGACAGGAGACAACAGAGATAGAAAAGTTCCTCAGACAAATTACAACAGTTCTTAGAACACTAGATAAACAGAATATTGAGGTATAATCTTTAATAGATAAATTATATAGTTCTTAGAACACTAGATAAACAGAATATTGAGGAATAATCTTTAGTAGATAAATTATATAGTTCTTAGAACACTAGATAAACAGAATATTGAGGTATAATCTTTAATAGATAAATTATATAGTTCTTAGAACACTAAATAAACAGAATATCGAGGTATAATCTTTAATAGATAAATTATAACAGCTCCTAGAACACTAGATAAACAGAATATTGAGGTATAATCTTTAATAGGTAAATTATATAGTTCTTAGAACACTAGATAAACAGAATATTGAGGTATAATCTTTAATAGATAAATTATATAGTTCTTAGAACATTAGATAAACAGAGTATTGAGGTATAATCTTTAATAGATAAATTATAACAGTTCTTAGAACATCAGATAAAGAGAATATCGAGGTTTAATCTTAAAAATAATAGATAAATAACAACAATATGAATGAAAGTATCAGATATTTTTTTTTTTTATTTAAATTAATTTGTTAAAATTTTCATAAATTTCAGGAAAGCAAGGTTGGCGGAAATCTAATAAAATTGGATCTTAGAAAAATCCTCGAATTTTTATCCATGCTAATGGACTAGACAAAGGAAAATACTATTTCTGGAATAAAAAATTTGTCGGATGGAGTCATAAAAAGTTCGATATTTGGCCAGAAACTGAATAAAAGCGTAAAGAAAAAATAATTCGTGAAAAAGTTTCAACATTACACAGTAGTATTTTGTATTGTAAACATTTTGTATTTTGTTGTTTTGCACATTTTTATGTTGAAATAAATTGGTTAAAAATTGATGTTGACGTGAAGGATTTTAAACCCTGATTGATAAATTGATACAGGAGATTGAGACAAACCAACCGCAAAGTCAGGGGAATACATTTTTCTTCTGAAATTTATTTTTCTACCAGAATTGAGACTGCTTAGGTGGGCTCACGTAGTCTACACC